ACTTTGCAGAGAGTCCATTGAGTGAAGCATGAATAGAAGCAGTGGGATGTACTTCTAGGAAGGTTACTGTAGGATTTCAGGCAAGAAGTCAATGAACTGCAAGATGGGCACTCCACAGGAGAAAAATGAGGTTTTCTTCCCCTGTAAAGATTATATAGTGTTGCTATGGTTGGAGTCCACTCAATGGCAATGAAATTATGCCATCATCATTGTTACTATTCCATTAATCAGAAACCTCTAGAAGATGATACATATCACATGCTCTGACCCTGATATGTTTAAGTAGGGACCAGAAAGGAGGGGGGTACCAGGTATTGGGTGGACCAATACATAACATCATGATCAATGGAGAACAAAATTGAAGTTGTCAAAGACTTCATTTTGCTTGGATCCACAGCCAACACTCATGGAAAGAGGAGTCAAGAAATCAAACAATGTATTACATTAGGCGGATCTACAGAAGACCTCTTTAAAGTGTTGAAGAGCAAAGACCAGTTTGAGGACCAAGGGGTGCCTGAATGAAGCCATGATATTTTCAGTAGCCTCATATGCATGTGAAAGTTGGATGATGTATACGGAAGACCTTGGAAGAATTGATGCATTTGAATAATGGTGTTGGAGAAAAATACTGAAAGTGTCATGGGCTGCCTTAAGAACAAACAAACCTGTGTTAGAAGTATGGGCAGAGAATGCTCCTTAGAAGCCAGGATGGTGATACTTCATCTCTCATACTTCAGACATATTAGGAGGGACCAGTCCTTGGAGAAGAGCATCATGCTTGGTAAAGTGCAGGGTTAATGAAAAAGAGAAAGAACCCCAACGAGATGGATTGGCACAGTGGCAGCAGCAACAATGGTCTCAAACATAATAATTGTGTGGATGGCATAGGATCACTGAATCAGAATCAACTGGATGGCACCTAGCAATAACAACAACTAGGTATTGGAAAGATAATTGAATAAATTCTAGAATCCAAGGAAAATTTACAACTAAGTCTCAGAAAGGGTCAGATCAGAACAACTTTAGGACCCTCAGCTGAAGATTTGCAGATCTTCTGCAGAATTTGTAGATCTTCTCTTGAACCTGTTATTAGCAAAGCAGGTTGTGTTGAGGTATTACCCCAAAGAAAGGGAAATCCAGTAATCAGCCATGCGATTCATCATTTTCTATGGCACCAAGAGTGTGATAGATTTACTATACCCTGTAATGGTAGAAAGAGTAGGCATAATTTTTATAACTTCCTGGCTAAACAATCCTCATAAGGTGAGGCCCAGCCTACTTCCTTTTTCCTTTGAACTATGAGTTTATATAGCCTGTATCTTAACTACCACATTAATGATAACAACTCTTCACCCTAATTGGGAACATGGGATACAGTGCTCACTAGATCAGCCTTAAAAATGCAGAAGGGACACTTGACAGGATCTTGGTACAGTACTGGTTATGTAAATGTCATGATTCTGAATGTGTAAACTTTGCTTTGCCCAGCATTGGGGTTCATGAAATGTAAGCTGATTGGCGAGATCTGTGTGGATTTAGAATACATAGATTCAGTGATTTAACCAGACAGGTGCAAATAGTGCTGCTGAACAAGGAAAAAATTCTCTTTGAGGGCATAGTAAATCCTCTTTACTTTGAATCCATCTTTCCCACTTCTGTCTAGTTCTTGGACTCTTTAATTCAGTTAGTATGCAAAATAAGAATTTATGAGAAATAAGATGTGCTTGTTTGGTTTACAAATGAGTTCTAAATTTTATCAAAATATAATACAGGTATTATTTAAGGATCAACTTTTGTAATGCATTTGAAAGGAATTTACTTGACTAGAATTTAACTTGCTTACATCTCTTTGGGAACATGCTGATTGTCAAAGTGAGATTCTTCGAGTTAGTGTTTTTGGCAGAGTATTGTTGAGGAACTGGAAGTTTAGTAATCTTTATTTTTGCATTTCTCAAAGCATGGGAATTGCAACAGAATCACCTGAGCCCTGTCATCTACACATATTGAATGCATCCTTTGGGACTGAGAAATCTTTTGGGTTGTAAATTTCATACTAACTTATTTTGCATAGTAACTTGAGAACCACTACTTTATATATCATCGGTCTTGACTGTTTAGATTTCTTAAATATGGTATTTCAGTCAACTTTTGCTGCATATAATAATTGACAACAACAGAATCGTAGTGCCATGTTGTTGTTGTTAGGTGCCAACTAGTCAACTCTGACTCCTAGTGAGCCTGTGCACAACAGAACACAGCATGGCTCAGTCCCTTACTGTTCTCTCAGTTGTTGTTATGTTTGTGACTATTGTCGAAGCCATTGTGTCAGTCTGTCTCATTGGGATCTTCCTTTTTTGCTGATTTTCCACTTTAATAAGTAGGATGTGCTTCTTCAGGAAATGGTCCCTCCTGTGTAAAGTACACGAGATGAAGTCTTGCCATCCACACTTCCAAGGAGAATTCTGGAAGACAGATTTGTTTGTTCTTCTGGCAGTCCATGGTTCTTTCAGTATATAGTAGTAAATAACATGATTCTACTCCATGTGTCTCATTCTGGGATCCAGGCTAGGAGGAGGAGTATTTTATCTGGGAGAAGCCTGTTTCA